TCTTGGGTCTAAGTCTTTCAAGTAACGACCTGAGGACCATTCACATAATTTTAGACTCAGGGATTTTCTCACCTAGGTTAAAACTAGAGTTCACTATATCATTTAACTTCGCATAGAATTCAATGAAAGATTTTTCATCCTTCATTCTAATCCCTTCAAACCTAGAGGTCAACATCTACAGTTTGGAGTTTTTAACAGTTTTGGTTTCTTCGTGTATGGTCTCTAGAATATCCTAAACCTCTTCTACAGTTTCACACGTCGACACTCTCATAACTCTTCAGAAAACATTGTCATAAACAGGGCATGAAGCCCTTTACTATTCCAATTATACTCAGCAAGCTCATCCTTAGTCCGAAGGAAAATGTCCGTAGAGGTAACTACATTTGACATTGTAGTAGATGGGACGGTCCAACCATTTTGTACACTAACCCAAATTCATTCATCTAGAGACTTAAGCAAGGCTCTCATTCTAACCTTCTTGTATGTATAGTAACTATTATCTGTATCTGTATTGTGCAAGAGGGGAGGAGAGGGTGTTGCATGACCTAATAGTCCTTCAAAGTACGTTTCTAAAGTAAATAAGGCTTCTATATATGTCAATAAGAACTCGGACTTTCTAAGCTTCTGTAGAACTCCTATTTGAAAGTCATATTTATTTCCTTTCTTAGTCCCATACCATATATTTTTGTTTCTTGTACATTACAGATGTGAACTTTCGGGTGCATAATGCTACCTATTATTTTATTCAAATAATCATTGTCAGCCTTTGACTGATTAAATTTATTAATTTAATTCAATAAATTTCATTACTGTATTGATATAAAAAAAATCTAATACTGTGACAAAACATTGCCTGTGTCCCTTTTCGTCAGTAAAAGAATCAATTCTATATCATGAAAAATGGAAACTTCCTAAAATTTTAATTTTTAGTACCTTCTGAAGTATAACTTTTTAATTATAGAAGCACTGACAAGTCCAGCCTGCAGCAGAAATTAAAATGCCATATCAGAGAGAAAAGACCACATGCACATGCTTTCGTATGAGATATCCTGGGAGACGCTTACCAAAACACCAAGTAGCTGTTAAATGTGGCATTAATTTGTAATCTTAGGAAATAAATAAGGTTACATGCACTTGAAGAAAATGTATCAGGAAAATACATGATGCACTTGAAGAAAATGTATCAGGAAAATACATGATGCAAATTCATGAATTATTAGGTGTCCATTTATATTCCCATGTCTCTAGAGTTATCCATGTGGTCCTATAAATAGAGGTCATTCTTGTAGTCTCATTGTAAGAAAAAAAAGAAGCAAACATTATTGAGTGTGCTGTAGCAACTCAAAAACTATCAATAAAAATTCAAGTTTTTCTTCAACACTTCGTTTCCGCACAAACAAATTTGGTATCAGAGCCAACACTTGTGATTGCATTTTTTCATGGCTTTCATACAAACAGCTTCGTTGTTTACATATTCTTCCAGTCAAGTCCGAATCTTCGAAGGCGAGCATTATGAATACTGGAGCATTCAAATGCAAACTTTCTTCATCTCCTTAGATTTTTGGGATGTCATTGACGATGAGGAGTACGAAGAACCATCCGAAGACAATGAAGATTACGAAAAATTGCAAAAAGAATTTAAAAGAAAAGATGCAATGGCTCTCCACTATATTCAACAAGGAGTCGGGAAATCAATTTTCCCTCGTATCTTTGGTGTTAAAAAAGCCAAAGATGCTTGGGAAATATTGATGCAAGAATTTCAAGGAACGGAGAAAACGATCACCTTGAAACTTCAATCCTTATGGAGAGACTTTGATAATCTCCAAATGGAAGAACGAGAATCGGTTCGTGTTTTTTCTTCACGAGTAGCCAAGACAGTAAATCAAATCAAAAGCTGTGGTGACACAATTACAGATAAAAGAGTCGTGGAGAAAATGTTAAGATGCTTTCCTCCAAAGTTTGACCATGTTGCAGCCGCAATTGAAAAATCGAAAGACTTGTCCAAAATGACCATTTATGAGTTAACCGGGTCACTTCTTGCCCATGAGCAAAGGATCAATCGTTCGAGTAACCAATCTACTACCGAACAAGCTTTCCAATCAAAGCAAATATCAAAAGGAGGATCGAACAACTATGGAGAACACAACAGAGGCTCAAATCAAACAAAACAAAAAGATAGCTATTGGAAGAAGGGTGACAAGCAAAGCAAATGGAAAGGCAAGCAAACACAAATTTCTGGTGGTAACAATCCAACTTGCATAATTTGCAAAAAAATGAATCATGAATCAAAGGAGTGCTACTTTAGATGCAAAAGGTGCAAGATCCCCAATCATTCTCAAAGGGATTGTTGGTTTCAAAATAAAGAGATGACAGAAAGAAAAAGTGCAGCAAACTTTTCTCAAGAGAATGAAAAGGAAATTCTGTTTTATTCTCAAAATTATGAAAATGGAGCTCAAAGCCCTTGGTATTTGGATAGCGGTTGTAGCAATCACATGACGGGGAATCGCGACATCTTTGTGGACCTTAATCCAAATATTACTTCACAAGTAATTCTTGGCGATGGAACATGTAGAGATACGGTAGGAAAAGGCACCATTGTTGTCCAAATTAAAGAAGGTAAGAAGAAACTCATCACAGACGTTCTTTATGTTCCCAATCTTTCTCATAATCTCCTAAGTGTTGGACAACTTATTCAAAGTGACTTCTCTGTCCACTTTGATGATGGTGCATGTAAAGTTTTTGACAAAAAGAAAAATATTTGTGTGGCAAATATTGAAATGAAGAACAAGACATTTCCTCTTATGATGCCACTAAATGAGAATTGTGCACTCAAGGCAAGAGACGAAGATTTGGCGTATTTGTGGCATTTACGATATGGTCATCTTCATGAAAGAGGCCTTCGTTTACTCCAAATGGAAAACATGGTGACGGGACTTCCTAACATCTAACACATAGGCAAAATGTGCGAAGGATGCATCTATGGGAAATTGCACAAGTTGTCATTTCCAAAAACTTCATGGAGAACGAAAGCACCACTTGAGCTTGTGCACTCGGATATTTGTGGGCCAATGCAAACTCCCACTTTTGGAAACAAGAGATATTTTATTCTCTTTGTTGATGACTTCACAAGAATGATATGGGTTTTCTTCCTCAGTCAAAAATCTGAGGCATATTCCACATTTCTTCAATTCAAAGCTCAAGCAGAAAGGCAAAGTGGTTTTTTGATAAAAATTTTAAGGACAGATCGTGGAGTTGAATATCTCTATAATCCTTTCATGGAATATTGCAGAAAAATGGCATCAAAAGACAATTAACTGTGAGTCGAACTCCGCAACAAAACGGTGTGGCCGAAAGGAAAAATCGCACAATTGTTGAAATGGCAAGAAGCATGCTAAAGGGCAAAGGACTTCCAAATCTGTATTGGGCAGAAGCTGTAAACACGGCAGTATACATTCTCAATCGGTCTCCAACAAAGGCTGTACGGAATAAAACTCCATACGAAGCTTGGAACAAAAAGAAGCCAATGGTTGATCACTTCAAAATATTTGGCAGCATTGCTTATGCTCTTATCCCTTCTCAAAATCGGGAGAAATTTGATGAGAAAGGATAAAAACTTGTCTTTGTTGGATATAGTGATGAATCTAAAGGATACCGGTTATTAGATCCAACTACAAACAAAATTACAGTTTCACGAGACGTTGTTTTTTATGAAGCTGCATCTTGGGATTGGAAAGGGAAAGAAGTTGTGGACCAGACACCCTACCATTTTATTGATCCATTGACATTTCAAGCAGGTCCGTCACAAGTTGGAAATTTAGAGCATAATCCAAACCCTACTCCAAGAAGTGAGGAAGAATCTGATCCAGAAAGCCCTCCAAGAAAGACACGTTCACTACAAGACATATATGAGTCATGTGAACTTGGGTTGTTCTCTAGTGAACCACAATCATTTGAAGAAGCCTCAAAAGAAGTATGTTGGACAAAAGCCATGAATGAAGAAATGTCCACAATTGAGAAAAACAAAACTTGGAAGCTTGTTACTTTGCCAGAAGGGAAGAATTTTTTTATCTCAAGAGAAGTATATTAATGATTTTCTAGAAAAATTCAGCATGAACCAGTGCAAGCCAGTCTCTACTCCAATGGGGTCGAATGAAAAATTCCAAGTCAATGATGATGCTGAAAAAGTAGATGCTACACTCTACCGAAAGTTAATTGGTTCACTCATCTACCTCAACACAAGGCCGGATATCACTCAATCAGTGAGTTTACTTTCCAGGTTCATGAATGAACCAAGCAAGAATCACTTTACGGCGGCAAAAAGGATTTTGAGATACCTTAAAGGTACAAAAAATCAAGGCATTGAGTTCAAAAAGGAAAATAACTTCAACCTTGTTGGCTACACTGACAGTGATTGGGCAGGCTCACTTGTTGACCGCAAAAGTACATCGGGCTACATCTTTTGTCTTGGAACAAATATTATTTCATGGAGTTCGAGGAAGCAAAGGTCTATAGCACTATCTTCTGCAGAAGCGGAATACATTGCAGCTGCGGATGCCGCTTGTGAAGCAGTTTGGCTTAGAAGAATTCTAAAAGACTTGATGTTTGAACAACAAGAGCCAACAACAATACATTGCGACAATATGTAAGCAATTGCTATGACAAAAAATCCAGTTTTTCATGCCAGATCGAAGCATATTGAACTACGTCATCACTTCATTCGAGATTTGGTAAGTCGAGAAGAAATTTGCATAGAATTTATCAACACAAATGATCAGCCAGCAGACATTTTAACAAAGGCAGTCACATTTGACAAGTTCGACAAGATCAAGGAAAAACTCAAGATTACAAATTAAGAGGGGGTGTTAAATGTGGCATTAATTTGTAATCTTAGGAAATAAATAAGGTTACATGCACTTGAAGAAAATGTATCAGGAAAATACATAATGCACTTGAAGAAAATGGAAAATACATAATGCACTTGAAGAAAATGTATTAGGAAAATACATGATGCAAATTCATGAATTATTAGGTGTCCATTTATATTCCCATGTCTCTAGAGTTATCCATGTGGTCTTATAAATAGAGGTCATTCTTGTAGTCTCATTGTAAGAAAAAAGAAGAAGAAAACATTATTGAGTGTGCTGTAGCAACTCAAAAACTATCAATAAAAATTCAAGTTTTTCTTCAACACTTCGTTTCCGCACTAACAGTAGCGTGCTTGCTAGAAATAAGTACAAGAAGCTTCCAATAAAGTGTAAAGAAATTGTAGGATCAATAGTTGTCATATCAGAGCTTTGAATGGCATTGAAAAGCACCACTGAAGTAGCATCATTCACTACACCTTCTCCAAATACCAAACTGTAAAGTAGGGGCGTCTCATCTTGACTTAGCACCTTATAGCATTAAAACAATTGTCATTTCAGAATGTGTGGTGTTCTCATAACATTGGAGTAAGCTTTAACATATTTTACCTGCAATGTGCAAACAGAATCTGTTGCAGCAAATATTGCACCAATTGCTGACATGATGGAGAAGAAAGGGAAACCCAAAAAAATTAGGTGGAGCCCCATCTAACAAGTAAACATGTGAAGCAATCAGAAGTTGCAAGGTCATACCTAGATAATCACTAATATCCAGAAAGCCGATTCCCAAGTTCCTAAAGAATAACACGACACCTGAATCATACACAAGAGGATAAATAATAGAATCAGAATGCATTTTCCATCAACACTAGATAATCCATAAAGTACTTAATCATCTCTCCTCTTTAGAAAGAAACTTAGGGCATGGCAGATGCCGCCACAGTTTTTTCAAGTTGTAAGTTATCATTTATTTACATTAATCTGTACAGTCAACCCTGATAATAGGAACTTCTTGTTTCTGATCAACATAAAAATATTAACTGTTCAATTTCTTCCAAAAAATTTAACATTTATGTCAGGTCAGGATGGGTTGAAGTATGCCGCAAAAAATCCAGATGTTTCATCCAATATAGGAACAAATCTCTCACAAGTTGTTGTTATGCCAAAGACACTCACATCGATATGCAATTTATGAAAATGACATATTTCTGTATCCTATATGTATATTTCAAGAGCTTAACATGAATGCTATCCACGTCAAGAACTTACAAAAGGCTTTGGTATGAGAGTATATACAACTAAAAGCAATATCTAACTTAGAAGAACAAATGCAATCTGAAGCATTAAAATTTTAAGAAGATAACTGAGTATCAAATGGAACTACAGGTAAAAAAATTGAATGTTACAAAGAAACCATTTTAATATTCTCTGGCCAGAAAAATTGCTAGAGCAGAACCAAATCATAAACGACAAATGTGAAATCTTGATAGACACAGAATTTTGCAGGGGGTAAAAACAACATGGACAATGTAAAATAAAATATAAAAAAAATTTACCGGTTGATATGACAGCAGATGAAATTAGTGTACCAACAGCTCCAAACAACATTATAGTGATGAAGTTACGGAAAAATTGTTTCTTCTTAACCTGGAACCTGGCAATGGAAGTAATAAAATTTTAAGCTCCTGAACAGATAATTTACTGGAAAAGTACGCAGGTTCTCTAACATCAGGCCCCCAACAAAAAATCATATTATAATACTGACGAAAACTTTCTTAGCAATCGATTTAGTAGATTCTCAAGATGATAAAATTGATTGTGAATCGGGAAAAGAAACTAGAAGTAACTAAACTCAGTTTTGAGAGCTCAAACTCTTAACCTAATAAACATATATTTCACCACCATTACTACATCTTGCATAGCATCAAAATTCAAATAAGGGATCAAACCTTTTGAACTTATCCACTTAGACTCATGTTACATGTCCTTCAATGGAATAGCTCAAGTTGAACATTTAATAAGTGTGTTTCAAATTAAATAATTGAATCTCCGTGGACAAAAGCATTTCTTATAATGATTCAATCAAACAAGAAGCATTGTAATTGCTCCAGATAGACATGTAACAACGCGCACACACTCACTAGCAAAGTACCTTTTGGACAAGAAAACAAAATAAAAGCATTCACCTTACCCAGCATTAAATATGATAGGAGGGAGAAGATACATGAAGAACAGATCCTCGCTGAAGACCAGGAGATGTGAGCTCTTGCTCCTACTAATCAACAATATAACCACTCCAGTACATAAACCCTGCAAGAATCCAAATTGAAAGTACATTCTGGTACCACAAACAAAGAATAAAAGCAATTCGACATATGACAAAATTCATAGTAAGATTATAATTAGAATACAAATCCGTGTATCAGTACTTCAACAAACCAAAAGATAAACAACATAATGATGCAACATATAAATTCTTCACCGTATGTACTCAGGAAAAAATGAGAGTAAAAACTAACAATGATAAGGGCTGTAATTGATTCATTCATCCAACGATTCTCCTCCAGAGAATGGCCAATGACAATGCAGCCGCAGAGGAGGGCCACGAAGAGGTTCATTGACACAACGGATGCATGAGCAGAAGTGGACAACATGTACAGTTTTTGCATCCAAGCACCCAATTCAGAAACCGTATCCATTTTGAGTGTATTTGAACCAAATTAATTAAAATTTTATCGTATTTCCAGAGAGATAAATCAGCTTCAAGTCTTGATACTGTCTGCTTCGAAATTTATTCTTAAAACACAGCATGAAATTAAGCTCGATCGTTTGGAATACATTGAGATAAAAGCCACCACACATTATTTATTTTATAAAATTTGCAGAAGATTCACACACTTAAAAATGTTTTAAAAACATTGACAAAAAGTTCCTAAAGCATGATCATTTATTTTTAGGTAGAGAAAATAGAAAAAATAGTGTGAAAATTGATTCAATCTCGCTATTGAAATCCCAAGAAACAAAAACTGGGTATGACTCTCTCCTGATCACCCGTGATCGCAGTGATGATTCAAAAGAAAAAAAAATCAGAAAAAGTAGGATAAAGGGGTTGTTGAGGTGAAATTTCTGGAGAGTCACGGAAATTCCCGGAAAATTGTGATCCTCTACTCATATTTCTATTTATATGATGATGAAATCGGGCCATTGAGTGGCGTGAAAAGTGGGAGGAATCGAAGGAAAGAAAAGTAAATTGAGGTTTCGCCATTTTTTGTTCCATGGTCCCTCTTATTTCGAATTGCTTGGCTCGCCTTTAAAATATTTTCTTACATTTTCAATTTTCATTATGCTACTTGTACATAAAAATGATATATAAGTGATTACATAAAATGATGTGGTGGGAAAGGATTGGATGAAAAATTGACCATATTTTAAACTGACAAATGATAGAATGACATGTGGCAATATGTATGACAATATGTAATCCATTATATAAAATTTGATGTACATATGAACCTTTAATTTATGTTAAAACTCTACTTTATGATATTTTTTAGTAGTGTTAGACTTTAATTCCCTTTTTCTTACTAAGAATTTATAGGTTCCTATAAATAGAACTCATTATTTACATTGTAAACAACTTTATTCTTACATTAATTTGAAAGATTATTTTGTAAGCAGTTTGCTTTTCATTATTTGTTCTTCATTGAACTAATTTTGAAGCTATCAAGATTTGTTTCTTGTACCGTTCAAATAATTCGGGCGAGATTCTCTAGTCTTGTGATCGTGGGATCAACATATTGTCGGTGATTGTATTAGTTCTTTGATTCGCCCAAGGACCTCGATTGCTAGGTGTGCACTTAGTGTAATTGAATTTCTGATTATGTATATCTTTATTAATTATTTTGGTTTTGTGAGGTTTGGTTGGTCGGTTGAATTTGTCTGGTGCATGGCTTGTGTTCCCGGCTTAGTATTTTAGGATCTGTTTGTTTCGCGTACGCTTTATATTGTTATGTTTGTTGGCCCGTGTGAGGGGAGGCTGTCTTGGGTGCGGACCTTGAGACCTTGCAAATGATCCGTTACACATGAAAAATCCAAACATATGCATAATTAAGTTTTAACAAAAAATTTGGGAATAATAAAAATTTAGACTTTTTATCTTTTTATTTAAATTATTTCTCAAAGACTTTTGAGATAACAGAAGAAGTGAAGATTGATCATACCAACGCAATTACCACAAAATCTACAGATTCCAAAATCAATACTGTAATTAAGTAATCGTTTCTTTTGAATATCCGTTTCCAATTTCCAATTTTAACGGATAACTCTAGAGATGCATGCTACTCTTTGGAAAAATTGAAATAGAATAATACGCTATAACAACTAATAAAATTTCATTTTATTTTTAAAGTTATTACATACTTGAGTTTACATTGAAGTGAGAATAATCCCGTGCTTAATATTATATTTTAGAATTGTATAAATAAGCCTAATTTCACTTTTATGATTTAATTCAATTATGATTATGACTTGATTTGCATTCATTATAATGATTCAAGTATGAGACAAATTATATTGACCAGATTCCATTTTGGGGTTTGGGGCAGGGAGATATTAATTGTTTAATATTTGACTTTATTGTGAAAATAAGAATCAATAGTCAACTATTGATTGAGAGCATCTCCCACCAGTTTTAAAATGATTGTGAAGTGCTAATCTGATGTGAAAGTGATACTCCAAAACTAGACTTCAAAATTTCACACCAAATTAGAGTAATGAACAATATCGTACCAAATTTGGTAAAACGGTGTTCATTTCGTGTAATTTATACAATTATTATTATTATTTTTCTGTCATTTATTTTATATTTCATTGTGAAAAACATCATTTTTACCACTTTTTAATGTAAAATGACCTATATACCATCCTATTTAAATAAAACAAAAAGAAAAAATAAATAAATTAAAGAACACATTGCAATTATACTCCCAAACTTTTAAAAAATCGTAAATGAGTCCAAATGAATTGTTAAAATGGTAATTAGCACAAAACACCCCTACCTCTCAATATTATTATGCAAAACGTCGTTGCCTTTTATTTTCTAGAATGTGATAATTAGTACAAAACGTCCTTACGTTTAGTCTATAGTGTACAAAACGTTTATATGTTTCAAATTTTTTCATTTTCACTTCATTTAATAGTACAAAACGTCCCTACGTTTTGCCTGTAGTACGCAAAACATCTATACATTTCAATTTTTTGTATTTTCACCCATATTTCCACGTTTCATAGCGGAAAATGTCATTTTTACCAGTTTTAATGTAAAATGAGCAGTGTACTCTTCTATATAAATAAAACAAAAAATAAAGAACAAATCCTTATTTGCATTTGCAAGTTGGGTTCATATTTGTGAGTTGCATCCGTATTTGCACAAAACATCCCTATATGGACTCACGAGTTAAGAAAAATAAAGAATCAATATACCCTCATATTTAATTTTTCTTTTCTTCTCTTATTTTATTTAAATAGGAGAGAATATATGTCAATTTTTTTATTGAAAAATTGGATGAAAATGACATTCTTCCACAATGAAAGGTGACAATATGGATGAAAATGCCAAAAATGAAAGGTAAGGACGTTTTGTACAATAACATCGAAACTTATGGACGTTTTGTGCTAATTACCATATTTCAAAAAAATAAAAGGTAGGGACATTTTGAACAAAAATATTGAAAGGTATGGACATCTTGTGCTAATTACCATTTTAATTATTCATTTGGACATATTTGCAATTTTTAAAAAAGTTTCGGAGTATAATTGCAATTTATTTTTTAATTTATCTTTTTTTTTGTTTTATTTAAATATGAGGGTATCTTGGTCATTTTACATCAAAAATTGGTGAAAATGACATTTTTTACAATGAAACGTGAAAATAGAGGTGAAGATGCAAAAATTTGAAACGTATAAACATTTTGCATACTAAATACCAAACATAGGGACATTTTGTGCTATTAAGCCAATTCAAAAAGTAGAAATTTGATAATTACAAATTAAAAAGAAATTAGCACTACAACAATATAAATATTATTGAAAACAGAAATTTAAAGTAAAATATAAAATAAACTAAGACAGTAATTTAGTATTCAAGTAGATCATTTTTGAATCCTTGAAGGTCATCGAAATATTGATCAAAAGAACTAGAGGAACTTTGAGATCTCTAACTTCGTTGTTGAGTTATTTTTTGCATATTTCTTGTATGTTCATTTGAAAAAATTCACTTAAATTTGATCCATTATGAAATTTAAATCTTTTGGTAAAATTTTATTATTTTTCTCGATTTTCTATTTACTCATTTGTTTAAAATTGATTGCATTATTCACATTGTCATTGTTCAAGTACCCATATGATGAAATTTGTAATTGTATATTACCATCTCAAACAAATAAAATATGGACATTAATATTTTGAAGGAAAAATACAGACATGAATAAATAACCCTTTTTAAATTCATGTAATTACCCTCCTTCGATTTTTAATAAAAACTGCATTTATCTCAAGCATGTTTGGTGCACTATATTAGGTATGAATACTTTTTATTTATATGAAGTTCGATATAAATAATATGCAGATTAATATATAATCCGTTACACGATAACACAATAAGGATATCCATAATTATTAATTGATAATAATCATAAACTATTCAAATTATATTATGGGGTGTGGGGCCAAGCCCGAGGTTGTGTCTGGGCCGAGACCACGGCTGAAGGCAGGATTGGGAAAGCACGTTTACAATGTTCCATGCAGTTACATTGATTTAATTTCGGTGAAACTTTAAAACATTTACAATCTATGATTGTAGGATACCATTTCTTCCCTTCGACGAGACATGGACTTGAAGCACACGGAGTGAATGTTTGAAAATATCTGGGGCAAAGATTGGAACCACTTGATCTTGAACAAATATCATAAATTAAATATAACAAAATAAACAGTGGATAAATGTAAAATTGGAGGAATGTAAATTTGGCTTTTACAAGAACTTAAAGAAATTTTTAAAAATATTACTTCATTAACTTTTAAGGATAAATTTACCTATAGATGGAGTAAAAAGGCGTGATAAGAGTGCCAAGCAGAGGAAATGAATTAGTATGGTGGAGCTCTTCATGATCTTGAACTTACTTTATTTGATGAATCATGAAAAAATTATTTGCTTATTATCATTTATTATATAGGTTTTAATTATAGAGTAATGCTAGTTAACTCGCCGGGGTTACAACTCTAGTCTAGGTGACACTAATAATGAGGTATTAAATGATAAGTAGAATTAAATAAGTCATTTAATTTTACCTATCATTCAACATATTATTTAACGCCACTTAAACTTAGGGGTGTCAAATGGCCCAAGCGGCTCGTCGACGACTTGGCCTTGTCAAATGATGAGCTCAAACACGGGTTGGATCCAACAAGCTGAGCAGGCTCGGCTTGTCGAGCTCGAGAGGGGCTCGTGGGCCTCGTTCACATCAAAAAAGTAAAGAAAAAGTTTGAAAATTTTCAAAAAAAAAAAAATAATAATAATAAATCTAGCTCGTGGGCTGGGGTCGGCCCACAAGCTCGCTCCTTGCGCACAAGCCAAGCTCCTGTGTTTAAGGATCGGCTTGGCCCATTGTCTCATCTATTTAAACTGAAGTTGTAACTCCTATGGGACTACATAGCATTATCCTTAATTATACATTATTTGAAGGCTACCATATATTTGTGTATTTTTTATTGTCTTTATTGACATTACATATATCAAAATGTAATTCCATTGGTGTAAAGATTGCAAGTATCATAAACTCAAATTTTAATGAATTTTAAAAATTTATATAAATTCTGATTTTTCTTGTATCATTTATCCCTATTAGTGGGACTACTTATCTCTATTAGTCGGACTACATAGCATTATCCTTAATTATACATTATTTGAAGGCTATCGTATATTTATATATTTTTGACGGTCTTTAATGACATTAAATATATCAAAATGTGATTTCCACTGGTGTAAAGATTGCAAATATGACAAGCCCCGTCCCGTGTAACACCATTGGACCTAGAATGTTGCGTGCGCCAATGATATATACCAACTAAAAGTCGGACCTATCATCAAGGCTACTACAACTACA